GCAGGGCCTAAAGAGGCTCCAGGAGAGCTGGAGAGGGACTGGGGACAAGGCATGGAGGGACAGCACACAGGGAGTGGCTTTGAGCTGGAAAAGGGAAGATTTAGGTGGGATATTGGGAAAGAGTTCTCTGGCCCAGGTTACCCAGAGAAGCTGTGGCTGCCTCTGGATCCCTGGAAGTGTCCAAGGCCAGGTTGGATGAGGCTTGGAGCAACCTGGGATAGTGGAAGGTGCCCTTGCCCGTTGCAGGGGGTTGGAATAAGGTGAGTTTAAAATCCCTTCCAATCCAAGAATCCAAACCATTCTCTGATTCTACAAAAGGATTAGTTTCCAAACCCTTCAACAGCACAGGTGGTGCCTTAACATCTGTATTTTGGGGGTCTGCATGTCTCTCTTTGAGGGTTTCAGGCAGGAGCTGGATTTGGGAGCTGCCAATTAATTAAAAATAAATAAATAAGTGAATGAATAAATGAATGTTTGAGTGAATAAATGAATGAAGGAATGAATAAATGAATGAAGGAATGAATAAATGAACGAATGAATGAATAAATGCAGGCCAACAACAAGAGCAAGCAAGGTCAGCTCTGCCCGTGTCCCATCCCACGCCTGGGCTGGTTTCAGGATGGAATGTGGAGCAGCTGTTCCCAGGGATATTTCCATGGGCTCCACACCTGCTCAGCACCTCTGTAAAGCTCAGGCTTGTTCCTTCTTTCCCCTGGAAGCTCAGGGCACTCCAGCATTAATTAAACTTCTCCGGGGCTTTACAGGGCAGGGATTTATTTGGATTGTGGTTTGGGATGTGATGGACCTTCCTGGGAGCAGGATTAGAGGCAGAATTCCAGAGTCACCACTCAGTTTTTTTGTTAGGTCCCACTGTTTTGAGTATTAATTCATTAATTCATTAATTTATAGGCATATAAACAGTGTCTGCCCTGCGTGGCAGTGGAGCTGAGGAGGATATTCCACGTGGTGTCCCATGTGGAATCANGGGGCAGAATTCCAGAGTCACCACTCAGTTTTTTGTTAGGTCCCACTGTTTTGAGTATTAATTCATTAATTTATAGGCATATAAACAGTGTCTGCCCTGCGTGGCAGTGGAGCTGAGGAGGATATTCCACGTGGTGTCCCATGTGGAATCACTGCTACAAGTGCTTTGTGCTGCATTAAAGGATGGGAATTATTCTTGGGTTGTCCTTGTGCCTTTGGGTTTTTACTTTTCATTTGTTTTGGGGTTTTTTTTGGGGTTTTTTTAATGAGAAATTGTGTCCCTGATCCTGCTGCTTGGGCACCTTGCAGGTGAGTCTGTGCTCATGCTGGCAGTGGAAGGTGGGACTTACCTTGTACAAATAAGGCAGCAAAAAAAATCAAATGACTTCATAAAGGAAGTCTTTAATAGAACAAAGAATGAAATTCGTGCCCCAGAGCTGTGTCCTCCCAGCTATTGGGAGGCACATTTTGTGTGCTGAGCTGAAACAGCAAAAATTCAATAATTCTTTATGAAGGTATTTAAGCAGTTTCTGTCCAGAACATCCCAGGGATGCAGGACACTCCTTCCTACTTCTAAAATAAAATTGGATAAGTTCCCCTTGCTTTATTTTTTGGAAAATACTTGAGTTTCTGGTAGCATGGGGGGGTTGGAACAAGATGATCTTTGAGGTCCCTTCCAACCAAACCATTCTGTGGATCTGTGGGGTTTCGGTGTCTCAGAGGTGACTTTAAATACCCAGAACTTTTGCACAGTTATGTTTCCCTTGCTGGGAGTAGCAGAGCATTACATGAACTTAATTCCTAAACTAAAAATGAAATGGAAGAGGCTCTTGTGGGTTTTAAATATGCAATATCTCAAAGTTGAGTCCACACCCTGGAAGTGTCCAAGGCCAGGCTGGAGCAACCTGGGCTAGTGGAAGGTGTCCCTGCCCATGGCAGGGAGTTGGAAGTGGATGATTTTTAAGGTCCCTTCCAACTCAAACCATTCCATGATTCTGTGATTACCTCTGTGTAGAATATAGAGCTTGTTTTTTGTTCTCTGAATTTCTCTCAGTGTTGGGCATGTGTCTGTCTCCTGGGTTGCTTGCTGGAAGTTTGGACCCTGGCTGAACCACTCAGGTGTAACTTTTGGGACTGAGAATTACCTGATCTCTGCAAGTTCCAGTGCTCCAGCACTTCCCAGTGGATCAGTAGGAGAACTACAGAGTTAAAGGTGTATCATGAATTATAGAATCACAGGATGGTTTGGGTAAGAAGGGACCTTAAAGATCATCCAATTCCAACCCCTGCCCTGGGCAGGGACACCTTCCACTGTCCCAGGTTGCTCAGCTCTGACAAAGGGTGGCAAATCCAGCTGTGACACA